ACAACACTCAACGCAATAGCATTATGGCTTCTACCATATAAAGAGCAGTGTGTGTTACTACCAGTACTACGACTTGTTCTGAAACTTCCAACGGACGATGACTGAAGAGCTGTAATGTTAGCATAAAAGGCGTGGCAGCATCAGTAGTAACAGCAATCACCAACAACAACAACAGCTAAGATAAGATTCCCATCAAGCCAACCATCTGTCCTGCTCACGCAGAAGTAGGAGCCCCACCAGCCGCTGCTGCATCTTCCGGCTGGGGCACCATATGCATCATGAAACCGAATCGATAGTCGCCCTTCACAAAATCTACCATACCGCTGATGCCAAAGCCCATGAAGTCCTGGACGAAGCACGAGACCTTTCCACAGGTGTCCAACAAGCCCTGAACTCTAGCGTGACGAAAGGTGTACTCATAGCCCAGACGCAGCTGACTCTCCTGCTCAGGTTGACTATACTCGAACTCACTACCAATCGCCAGCCTGTCAGACACCTTACGCACATACTGCATCTTAGCAGAGTGTACATTAGCCTGCGGCCCCTGTTTGAAATCAGGTTGTCGGCCCAAGGCGAAGCTCAAGTAGTTAGGGCCCCATACATAACGAGCTCCCAAGCCTCCAATAGACACACCATTAACTGCGACATGAGTCAGCTCTCCACCCAACGAGAGGTTGTTGGTGACCTCTTGGGCAAAGCTGACATTGGATATCCAGGTCCCCTGATAGGCCAGCTTAGCACTAGCTGCCCAATCCTCCCCTTGCTGATCCACAGTGAACTCGTACATGTTCCTCTGAGGGTCGTGGAGGTTCGAGTTGGCGTTGATCTTCAAATCAGTGCCCTTGAAAAGTTTCTTCATCAGCCGAGCGTTAATTCGGGTTTCGGGTTTCGGGTTTTCGGGTTTCGGGTTTCGTTCGGGTTCGGGTTTCGGGTTTCGGGTTTCGGGTTTCGGGTTTCGGGTTTCGGGTTTCGGGTTTCGGGTTTCGGGTTTCGGGTTTCGGGTTTCGGGTTTCGGGTTTCGGGTTTCGGGTTTCGGGTTTCGGGTTTCGGGTTTCGGGTTTCGGGTT